ACAATATTCTGCCTGCAGATTGCTACAAACAATGATGGACAGTCAAAAAATAATGGGTCATAGTGGATCGTTACGCCGCCATTCAGAAGATGAACCGTCAGGCATTGCCTTAGACGGCTGGCTTTCGAGGCCGAATGCGGTGTGCCTAAACCCGGATTCAAAGGTCGGCCCTGAATCGTAGACTATCACGTGTCCCTGCCGAGTTATCAATATAAACATTGTCTAAGTAAAGTGCTAGTTTGCTTGGCCGACAAGTATATAAGAGATAAAATTGAATTGATTCAACAATTGATGAGTGTTCACGCGAAAAAGACAATCATGTATAAGTTCTTTTTTGTTTCAGCAAAGACGCGCTAAGTTGTTCGACTTCAAATAGTACTCCCTAGGTTCGGCTTCAGTAGCAGAATCTTGCAGGTAAATTTTCGTTTGGGCTTTAGTGGAATTACGAAATGGGATTTATACATTATTTTTAGTAACAGTACTCCATCGTTTGGGTTATGAAGTTTCTGCCTGCTCCCGCTGGCGGTGGCTTACGTGACAAGCAGCACAAAGCAGAAGCCGTTTCCCGCCGTCCTCATACTTCAACAGTTCTCGCACGTCAGCATCCCCTCTGCACTGATGTCCCGTTTTTTCGAAGTGATGTCAAAGTTGCACATTGTGCTGTTCAACCAGTGAAGTAGCAAGGTACATTTATAATAAATGTATGGTAAGATTTCCATTGTGATAATAAATAAGTGTCCGCAATAAGTATCCGTCCGAATATCATAGCTTTGTCAGAAGTTGTGGATCTATGTTAGTAACAATGTATAGGATCAGAAAACTGGAACGGACCCATGCAGTATTATGAGACATATCGAATTTTTTTGCCAATAAGTAATGATGGCGACATAAAAGGCTGCTATATGATTATTTTGTGTGATTCTCTTTAGAAAAGAACAACGATCCTTAAAGGGGTATTCGACTTCGCTGACATTGACTTCAATGAATAATGCTTAATTTACTTGTTAATCGTGCCCGGCTAGATTCATGACGAATACAAGTTAAATGACGAAAAGGATGATTTGCGTTTATCTGCACAAGCCAGTGATAACAATCGTGATGAGAACGCGATTCATAATAATCCTGTCAAATCTAGCAGCTCGCGGGCCGTTCGCTTTACTAGTCTCGCCACGACGGGATTCGACAGTGTGCTCCAGGAGGCTTCTTCTCATCCCCGCCAGATACCGGTAGAATTATCAGCGTTAGAAGCCGTGACTATGCTGCTATGTGCGAAGCAAGGCAGCTGGGTTTGTGGTGAGCAGCTAGGAGAGGAGGGCGAGTATAAGAAAACGTCATCGGGTCAGGACTGCACAGTGCATCTGGGTCGCTGGTTGATCGTCACATAACAACTGGACGCTGCTAGTTGACATCAGTTCTCCGATTTTCGCGTTTGATGTGTGTGGGTGCGTGAGAGTGCACTACTTGTGGAACGGTGTCTGTGAACGAGGCAGCAAACGTGCTTGCGTGAATTTCGGTGTCACGAAAACAATAGAAAATTACTGGTTCGGGTGACTGGGGTTGACGTGCAGAGGTAGAGCGATAAAGCGACTGGAAATAGGTAGTCGCTTTTAACACCGGGGTGCTCTCATCATCGATAGGGGTTTAGCCAAAGCCCTCTGGACGAGGCTATCTGTAAAATATAAGACACAGGCGTGCTGGCCGCGTGAACTTACATCTGAATGTAAGTTAAACTCATGTGAGAATTGAAAAATACTTGAAAAAATGTATATGGATGTCTGTCGATAATTTTCGTGTACTTATCGTTTCGTCACGCTTTCGGAATAACGACATAGGTGTTCATGTTATTTAAATGAGCCAATACGATTTCTTTAACCAGGGTGTGCGACCTGAAGATGGTTTAGGGTTTTCTGCAGAAGAAGTAGAACTTCGTTAACGACACGCAACACTGATTGCAGTATCCGAAAATGTAAACGCTGAAGAAGCGTTAAGACGAGGCTCAACTCGTAAGGTCTGTTTAGGAAATTGTTTGCTAAATTGGTTCGTACTTTTCGTCCTATTTTATACTGACAACTGTCACTGATACTTATATCTCTTTCTGAGCTAGCTATGCTTGATAACGTTGCTAATCATGAGTGAATCAAGGCTTCCGTACATTGTACAATATTATAATACAGAAAATGCCATACTAGAATTTGTCGCAAACCGCATAGCTTAACTATTTTGAATCAGGACGAAGTAAAAACGTTAGCAACAAAACTTCTATCGAATGAATTACCACTACGAAGCTTAAGTTGAATTTGCGGAAGTCGATAATAGGCTTTGCTGTATGATATGGTATGTTGAAGTTCAGTATATAAATTATTATTTTACTATGAATATTTGTCTTGTGCTTGCCACTGTTCCAAGCATTCACCACCTTGCCTATGGCTCTTTTGGGTTATTCAGCACTCAGTCGTGTTCGAATGTTCATTTAGCGATTGAAAAGAACGACGCTGCCATGTCTGAACGCAGAAATCTTCAGTGTAGCACGGCAGTTTCCCCACCGAGGTAGCCTGCTTCTTCAAGCAGGCATAACTGCGGTCCACCGGCGATGCTCTGTTCGTTTCTTCTGTGTACATGTTTTTACTATCTACTGGGTGTATGTGTGTGTGTGTGCTTGTTCCGTTGGGATCTTCGTCGATGCGATTCTGGGTGACCCACAAAATCTGCTGACGTCACGTCCACGGTGTGCGCAGCGTTGGACGCTATTCGCTACTTTGCAGCTCTGCGTTCGCATCAACGGCACCAATCTGCGCTATCATTGTCTAGGGTTGTAGTAGCATTCGCTAGCGGCACACGTCGATCCTGAACCTTCTTTTCCGGCGGACAGATCCTCCTGATGTATCCGACGCTATTTGGAAAGGGCGCAGAGGAGAGCCGTCGTCGTCATAAAAAAGACGGCCATTGTCTCCTGTCAAATCGTTATCGTCGTCGTCGTCGTCGTCGCTGCGTCGTATTCCTGATTCAAAGAAACATTTTTGATTCGATCATTATAAGCATACTAGCGTGCTGTCGTCAATCGGTTTAACCAACGGTACGTTAATGGAGCGACGGTTGCGGGAGGCCAGCCAGCCTGATCGTATGTCATTCGGAAGAGATTGATAATGACTGACCAGTTTGGTGAAAGCAGCTCTGTTGGTGTGTAGATTGTACCGTGATCGATGAGGATACACGGAACAGCTGGTCCAGAAGTAAAAGATTCACCTTGTCTAGAGTCAAGTGATTAACTAGAAGAAAATGCAGATTATGCAAAAAAAAAGCTAACTATACTGTAATCGATCATTAGTCAATCACCCGTACGCTTTACTGTAGGACAGTAAAGGCAGCTGAACTGGTTCAATAGGGCAGCGAATCACATAGATCCATATTATAATGATCGATACATTGCTTACATCTGTATGATAGTCCGTATAAAGGGGACTGAAGTTCTAGGAGTTTTTTCCTACGGCTAATTTTGTTTCGATAATTATATCGTTTGAAGGGATACGTGGCTGCTGTAGACGTGAGGACGGATAGTACTAGTACTAGTACTAGTAGTAGTAGGAACGGGATTATTGTATTTTATACGTCATCAGCATTACACTCCACTGTGATATTATTGACTCTAGTTATCTAATTTTAGACGGGGCATCTGACGTAAATGCAAGGTGACTACGAGTATGCACATGGAATGAAAATTAATCAATCATCATCTACTAAAGTCAAAATGGCAGCTAAAAAATAGGGTTAATTAAAATAGTACTGCACTGAACAAACATGTACGAAGTACGCTCGGTATAACACGAACAAAAGCAGGCATTTGCTATACGGGCCGCTTGCGAAATAAAAAAAATGCGAGAAAAATTATGACGAAGGCTTTTTCTAATCTGAATGATGAACTATTTGTAAAAACCAGTCAATAGCAGTCAATTATAAGGATATTAAAACTTTATGATGCACGTTCATTCCCTCGTATTGTACGTACGGAGTCTTTAACGGTAGTAGCTTCCTCGTTCGATAATGCGTGCGTGACTCCAATTGACTATAACACGAACACTTCTTTAGAGATTTTACGATTACCGACTTTATTCTTTACGTCACTTTGAACTACTACGTGCTCTTACGTGCCAAGTGTTTCCGTGACCATTTGGCCACCTTAGACTTCGTTGAGATTTCTTCGGAGTTATTACATTATGCAAACAAGACGAGCGTCTGGCTTAATAAACAATGAGGTGACCTTCATCATTTTTTACCTGGTGACACGACAGCGCGCGGTACTCTATCTTGTCAGAGCAAATTCCATATACCTAATCCATTATATCAAAACAAATGAGTGAGCTGTGACCTGTATCTACTTGTACGTGTTTACAGAATTTTGCCTTGAAGGAATTCGATGAGGAATCGTTATCTGTTAATCGTTTTTGAAACCTCACTGATACTGTAAGAATACATCGTGACTTAACTTAAATCGTAAAAAACTCAGACGCAAACTACCAAATCGAAAGTCACTTGCTGTCTGTCTCTTCATTTATCTACATTGATCAAATGGAGAAATCCAAAGATGAGCCGGAACATCGATTCAGCCATCCACATACGTGCATTGCTCACGCTGGCGGATAGGACACTTCGACTGCAGTGTCTATAACACTATCGCTAAATGAGCACAAATTGATTTGGTAAACAGGTTTACCTTGAAAATAGCCTGTGTCAACGTTACCGTCGTACACACCTTGTGCTTGTCATGTACGGTGTATACCTACCTATACAGGTGTGCATCTTTTTGTAAACAGGCCCCTATCATTCGTTATTGTTTACGATTCTTACAATTGAGTGTTACTGTTGTTGCAGCTCGTTCAACTCATACCGAAGGAGCAAAGTGTACAAAAAAAAAAAGTAATAGTAAAGGGGATATTGTTTGCGACAGCTTCGAGATGTCAATCCTTCTCTCCCGAAGGGATCTCCTTTCTGCGTTTGGGCAACTTTCGCTCGGTGGTACAAGTGCACCGAGCGCAATGTTATTAATCGCTAGATTATTTATTCAGTAAGTCTATCTTTGAACGACAGTGGACTACCCCTGTCGACATAAAGCCAGTATCTCACTCCGAGCTCCCTATACGAGCCGATCTAATATGGTGTTGCTCAGTCACCAAACGTAGTGTGATGTCTATGCTAGATCGCGGCAGCTTCTGAGATTTCGACGATTTACGTAACGGATAGTTGTGCCGACGGTAGTAGTGGCCGAAGATTACGCTTCAGGAGTTCAACAAATAGCTTTTTTATCGGGCGAAGTAACCTATTTGAGCCGAATTGAGCTCTATCACTTGAGATAACGCGTCTCGGACAGTTGGTAATAGCCCAATTGTGGACATACAGCGAGTATCGTTATCACAATATTTTTTTTTTTCGAAAATCGCCTGTCGTTCATATCAACATTCGGTACACTGCCGGTTAAATCAATAGTGTGAGCTAAACTAGTTGATTTCTAAACACTGCTTACCTTGGTGAGTCCTAACGATGCTTAATTACGAACGTTTTCTTAATAGCAGCAGGTAGTCAACTGACACCTTGACGATGTAATAGATAAAAACGTATCACAGATAAAACAGTCCTACCTATATTTTTTTGCAAATGGACAATTCCACCGTTATTACACCTACAGTGATGCTCAATAATTGATTGCTCTTGACCTCATTTCGTTGCTTTTTTTTTCTCTCATCATCATTCTAAGATTTGTTATTGGCTTCTAGTTTCGGAAATCGCCGACTATTTGTCCGTCCTTTTATTCGAAGGCTTTCTTTTCGTCAAATGATTCTTTGTATTCTCGAGCAGATCAAAAACTCACCGGTGGCAGTTAGCTTAGGCGGACGTCGGTAGCCATACCGGTCAACTCTTGTTTTGAGAGAGTAACCGAGTTATTAGTTTAGCAGGGGATATACCGAGGAACAACTTTGGGCCAATTCCACTAAAACAGCTTTCAGCTCAACGTTTGAACGAGATAGTTTCGAAATTTTTTTTCGAAATATTTCGCTCGGAAAAGCGCAGTCGTATGCAAGCAAGCAAATATATATCATAGCGTTAAGATGGCAAAATACAGGTCTATTCATCTTGCAAATCACTTGTTTGTATTTGTCTTACAAATCTATGTAGCAGAGATTTGCTATAGAAAGTGTTCCCTATAACAAAATGAACTATACGAACTGTTTTTTTCGTTGTCTTCCAGTCAAAATGCCGGCCCCAAAGGTGGCAATCCTTGGAGGGGGTGCTTCAGGTATCACTGCTATAAAGTGCTGCGTCGAAGAAGGATTGGACGTTGTCTGCTACGAGCGCAGCTCAGACATAGGTGGACTCTGGAGGTACACAGACGAACCCGAGTTCGGCCGTGGGGGCGTCATGAAAAGTACGATCATCAATTCCTCCAAGGAAATCTCCTCATTCAGGTATCGAGCCATTGTTTTCGTACCTATATTATTGGTAATAACGACGTAATCAGCGATCATGCAAGCCAGAACCTTAGTCGGCTCTCCCAACACTATTTATTCGAAATTATGAGCGCAACGTTTAGCTTCATCGCATTGAACAAGTGGCTTCGTTCGCTTACACAGCCTTTGAAGCAGTGGGCTCTGAGGTTCCACCAATAATGCCATCCGTTGTGGGTTTGTTACGCTAACCCACCCTTGAATGGCTCGTTTTTATCTGGTGTGATCTAACTTCAAATCTAAATATGAATCTTTTAGAATGTATGTATATAGACGCCATATTGGCAGTGCTCAACTTCACTGAGGTCTGTTAATGCAAAGCTAAAATTTCTATAGGAAAACAATGAACAAATCAGTTGGCAGTAAATACGAAACTCTCCCCAATGTTTTCCTACTACGCTAGATTTGCCAGCCAGCTCCCAAAAGCCCATCAACCTATTGAGACTTCTGTCGCGTTTGAATAATACGTTTTACTGTGCGACTTCATACGTTTAGTGCGAACATGGATTACGTGATGAAGTGCAGAGATTAAACGTTCCCATTCGCAGGACGCAGAATAGTCGAGGCTTGACATTTAAAGGTGCCAAAAGCCTCTACTACTAGTTCACACGTGGATGAATCCAATCTGGCAAGAAATAGATTACATTTGCTTGTTTTCAAAAACTATTGCTGATAGATTTCCTTATTGGAATTTCTTTAATTGTGCGGTATAATTGCATTAGTACCTCCTCTGGCCTTCCGGACAACTGTCAATTTTTGACGCGGAAATTCATTACGTGGACTTAAAAGCCAGCTACCGAACGTTAACGTGTCAGCGACCCTAAATAGACACATGATTACACGCTCTGCCTGTATCACTTGGACGATTACCTTCTTATCTAAAGGAAACTATATCCCATGTACGGTATACATCTGCGACCGGTTCACGCAAATTTTATGTACAATGTGTTATCTATATGTCAACCTTTTTTCAAACAAATAGATCTCGCTACAAAAGTAGATAGACCTATCTAGTCTTTTTGGTTTAATATAGCTGCTCTCTAACTACATGCGAGGGACGCACGCAGCCATATTGGTTACTATGCGCTAGTAGCGCCATGCCCATTCAAAGGAATTAAATCGCCTATCGGATCACGTAAGAAACTATTTCCTAACATTCTCCTATAACCGCGCGAAATCACGACCCGATCGATAACCCTAGCCCTTTCCTCCTGCGCGTTTGATAGTACGCGGGATGCTTAGGATGCTTTTTTTTCGCTGATTCCTGTGGCGTGACCGTAGTTAGCGACACCTGTGTTTTGTAAGCATGCTTTGTCCGCCGATGGATCTCGTCCATTGATCGTTATCTTGTCGCTCGCTCGCTTTGTAAACAGAACGAAAAGAGACAAGAGAGACTTTCTCGTAATAATGCATCCAACACTCAAAACATCCTCAGCAGCCATCTTTGTGCTTGCTCGGCCCGGAAAATCCTCCCAGTAGGCCCTAAGAACATTGACGCCAGTTTGAGAACAGACTTCTAGTCGTATCTTGTTCAACAGAATACACGTGTTTACCTGTTATGGCACTTTTGGTCATCCTCCAAGTGAATAATAGGCACAAAATTGTCCCGATTGATAATAGGCTAGCAGGAAACACCCAGCAGCCCATCATCCAGCTGCTGGCAACTTCGCTACCTGATCAATGTCCATTGAACGTCGTGTTAGCATCGATCGCAAAAACAGCTCTTATCCAAAAGATGCTTTACTTCATCGAGAACGAAGAACTGCGCCAATGTACACTTTAGTGGTACATTAATATTGGTGTAAAAAAACATAGCATTTAAATAACTAACGTTGTTTTGTATCTGAAGTACGCAATCATGTCGAATGCGCGCCCTCTAACGGATCGTTTCGTCTCACGTCTTCGATGATTGCTAAAAGTTAAACTTCAATTTAACGAATAGTTAGATATAATTTGAGTGCCATTTTACTTCATGTTGTTTCGAGGTCTAACCCGTCAGAAATCGTAGAATTAGATGTTATAGACGTGTTGCTTTAAGCGTTTCTCACTGAAAATGTACTACATGAAACATCCAACGTGAGCGTGTAGTTTTATCTAGGACAACCAATTTGTACCTATGTCGACTAAGAAATACGAATCATAACATGTTCGAATGGCTCTTACGAGACACGCCAGTACTAACGGCAAACAAACACCATAGGTCAATTCCAAAAGGGGACCATGTATAGACAATAAACAAATGACTTAAACTATAGCCTATATGGTTCACGCACAGGGAGACGAGCTGAAATGTTACAGTAATAATCTTCACAAATGTTTACTCTCATCTGGAACGAGGGGTTCGTACGATGACGACACTTGGCTTAAAATAGGTTGTTAAACACAGTTGATGCTAAGGTGCCAAAACACGTTTGCTTGCTTCTGTCAGATAGGATGAGTTTATCGTTGGTCATATGTTAGCCACGGCATAAATTCGAAAATTTATTGTCGGATTTCTTGCTAGCATAAGTTGACGCTGACATAAATTATATGTATTCTAGTCGACGGTGTGCGGTCAAAAAGCGAATATCGAAGTACTTTTGAACGGCTTGAACATCTCTTTCGTTGGCGCTGCTGGAAACTATTCGAATTGGTTATACGTCCTATACGTCAGAAATTATAGCAAAATTAACATATTATGCAAAAATTAATTCTAAAAGTTACCATATTTTGTTGAAAAGTTCAAGTTTACCACATCTCTCATATCGACGTATCCGTTGCAGTTTAATCTTCTGTGTGACATGGTAATAAATATCTATTAACATATGAAAGAACTGACAAAAGTTCTGAAAATGTATTAAACTGTTTGGCAGTATCTCTTTTTAGTTGATGTCTGAGATGTAGGTCCTGAATTCGACAGACATTCGAACGCATTAATTGTTCTTCTCTCGTAGTATCTAAGATATCTGCCTTCCTGGGTGCCCGAGAAACATTATGATAACAATAGTTAGAGCCTGAAGGCATTTTTTGTCAGTTAGCTTAGCGGCTATGGGCAATTTACCTTTAGAACTGGCCTAGGTCTAACAAAAGCTTAATATATCGTTTCAGTGACTTCCCTCCACCAGCAGAGTTCCCCAATTATATGCACAATTCAAAGATGATTCAGTACCTGGAGCAATATGCAGATAAATTTGGAATTAGGTCTTACATTCGCATGAGACACGAGGTTATGCATGTGGCACCCACTGAAGATTACAATGAAACCCACCGCTGGATTGTGCAGGTGAAGAACCTTGAATCTGGCGAAGAAAGTGAGGATGTGTTTGACGGCGTCATGGTGTGCACAGGTTTGCTTCATTGTTTGTATTCATCTTGCCCTTAGTGATTAATGGGAAGATACAAATAGCCTTGCAATCTCAACACAGTTAATTGGACGTCAACGGGAAAATTCTTCATTGAAATTCACAGCTTGACATCTTTATCTACTGCTTCATATTAACTTTAGAATTGTATAGCTAACAGTTAGAACGTAGGAGAACGTTTTGGTTGGCGAATTTTGCTCAAAGGATACATAACGGAATACTTACTTGCTAAGAATTAGGAAAACTAAAAGAAGTGCTTACTCTTTCTTTATCTGTGTTTGGTTTAAGTTTGTCTGTGCAAAGAGACGTTTGATTGTTATCGATTTACAACAAACAACAGTTTTGACTTGAGCTCGTGCAAAACACTTGACAACCCGACAAAAGAAGCTTGTAATTCTTGAATCCTATTTCAGGTCATCATACGTACCCGCAGATGCCGATCTTCCCTGATCAGGAGAAGTTCAAGGGTCGAATTATTCACACACATGATTACAAAAGGCCAAACGGGTTTGAGGACAAGCGGGTCTGTGTTGTCGGCGTAGGAAACTCCGGCGGAGATGCCGCTGTTGAACTCAGCTCCGTAGCTGACCAGGTTCGGCAGCATATCCTTAATTTTGTGCTTGTTGCTATATATTTTAGCTGATATCCGCTCAGCTTTCTGTAGCTGTCGTATACCAGAAAGGTAGTTTAAGATAAGTATAGTAAGACTACTATTAAGGAAAGCCTAAATACTCTATTTCTGGAATCTAAAGTTGTTTTATTTGTGTCATTTTGACTGGAAGTCACATAGATTTAACGATCTAATTCGGATGGTTTAATTCTGGAGGCTGGAAAATTTCTTCGTCGGCGAAATTATCGTTTCGCTTGAGTTAATTCACTGCCTTTTTTCTTAGCACAAACGGCGTTTACGTCTGGTGGCGACTTGGCTGTTTGACCATTTGGCAAGTTTGATAGGATTCGATCGCGCAGGCACAGTCCGGAATACAGTGGTTATTAATATTCAAGATGGGTAAAACCAGCACGAAGTAACACGGGTACGATCAAGTGCTGGAGCTATAGTTACATGGCCTTTACCAAAAAGGTAAAGGCCATTTTCGTGAGAAACACTGGTGAGGGGACACATCGCTAAACGGCCTAAGTTAGTATCATCTGGTATGAACAGTGCCGTGTTATGCGGAGATAATGCTGTCCAATGAACGCGGATAATTGTAGGTCATACATGCATTTTTAAGAGGACGTACGTAAGCTAGACGTCTGTGTTAGCAGTCTTTTGCGGACACTGTGTATTGGTAAAGAATAAATGCTCTGCCAACATACCTGGGCCAGCGACCCGATAATGATGATATACTCACTGAAGAACGAGCCTCCTTTAGGCAAAAGCTTGCCATAATATTTTATGCAAATTAATGTTGTTGCATTAGTGTCACCTGAATTGATCATCTCTACTCTTAGGATCTGAAGCTGTGATCCGCGTCGTTCCTCAGAGTGAATCTATCACTGAATCATTTTAATATGCCGCGCTTCTACATCAACGATTCCGTACCATTTCGTATATTCCTGGCAATTTTTACTTTTGTAGAAGTGATTACAGGCGGTGTGACTCATCGTCGCTCCTTTCCAAACGTATCAGATGAAAACTCAGAAAAAGAAAAGCATCTGTTGAAGCCTTCACATTGGCTTTGTGTCTTTCTAAGAAGATGATTCTGACAGATGAATTTTCGATGCAAAAACTAAGTGACCTTGGCGCCACTGGATAGTACTAGAGATGTGATTCGAAAACATATTATTATATTGTTTGGAGATTACCTAATTTCACCACGCCCAAGAGCTACTGATGCCGACTTTCATCGTACACATAGCTACTACATAGCTTTACCTGAAAGTGGTTCATTGGGAAAACGTACGTGCACTAAAACTAAACAATTATACGAAAATGTTGATCCTTTGTCAATGAGTGTCGTCTTTGATCAAAACGCTGTTCCGTTTAAACGGGTTCGCACTTTGCAAAGCTGTTGGGAAGCTGTTGTGAAGATAGCTTCGGTCTGATTTGAAGATTCTAGATATATTTTTATTTTCCATTTTTCTATTATTCGACACGCATTATCTCACCATCCGTGCCAAAGCTCCATTTCATGTATTTGTATTAAGTACAGCCTTAATTACGCAACGCGGCTGAGCAAACGTAGTAATCAGACCTGATTGGCATTGGTAATCAGTATCGTCAACGGTAACAGATAATGAGGCTCGTCTAGCTGCCTAATTTTCAGAAATGGCCTGTTTTTTCATGGATTAAAAGTAAACGATAACACGTGTCCATGCCGCTGCCCAACAAAATAGATCTAGCATTATTCCAAGTACTGAAAATACGCCTTTCCTGCTACACAGAATGATATCGGCAGCATCCATTATAATCGTCCGAGTGATGACGTAACCGTACATCTAACGACCGCTTTCCTTAGGTAGCAGTTGGCCATTATTAGAATATTTTCTGGTGGTTCTTCGACATTCATTACGCTTGCCCTTGGGCGAGTAGCCATTGTGCCCGTTATAACTTGGTGGGCAACGTATTTGATTATGTTAGAAGTACGTTGTGATCTAAGTTCTAGGTTCGTTTCGCGCTGGGAGCCAATCGTCTCATGGAATGGCAGTACCGGACGTGAAACTCAAAACATAGGCCGATTGACTATGGCGGATGAAACATTGTTTTCATCCGACTTGATCGAGTCAGAGATAGCTCATTATAATGATTGTTCGGCTGTCTATATTCATTAGGGATGAGCTTGCTCTGAGCAACAACAAAAACAGAAATACTTATTTATAGTAGCTATTATGGTTGTCATCATAATCGCAGATTACGTCTACATTGAAAACCATTTTTCACCACTCGTCTCCTGTTTTTACCTCGATGATGATTTCATCAATGCCGATAATGTAAACAAACAGAATACTGATTTCCGGGAAATTACCTAAACATTAGAGAAAGAATACTCAAAAACTTTATTATAAAACCCCGGTTTATGGTACGTTCATCGTATGTGAACCCATCTAAAAATGGATTGTCTGGTTATTGGACGTTTTAGCTTATTTTACATTGTATTGAGATCCTCGTTGTAGGAAACGAGTCGTACGCGGTGAAGGCTAACCCAAGTCCATCGACGGTCATGGTCAAATCCAATGGTGCTCTGGGCCTCCGGGTTTCATTTCAGCGACGCCCTTTGTCCAATCGTCCGGCCGCCCCTACCGGCTGAGTGAACTGCATTTTCTTTTCTGTGGTACGATAAGGTATCCACGCCAGTGACTACAGTCCTATTTGGTGCACTATCAAATTATCCTTACAGAAGCAGGCTCTTTGTATTGCATAGTCCTACACGGTATGTCATCTTCAAAAGGCCTTGACACCGAGTGACTGCTGGACTGAACTGCGCATTTCTAATTCTGTGCGCTATCGTTTAGTAACAGGATTTCTTATAAAAGCCTATGAACTAGTTATTAGGTGACTGCTCACGAAAATAGATTTTTCGACAGCTGTCTATTGTGGTAGGCTATAGGATCTTCAACATCTTACTGTCGCGTTATAAACACGAAGAAAATATTCTTCTGTTGACGATATCTATTTTCGTCCTGCAATTGCCGCTCTGTTTATCAGCCGGCGACTGAACTGGGCATAGAACCCTGTCTCATGCTGTATCGACATGGACAAGTACGCTAAACACAGCCGGTCAGTCCTGTTCAATCAGACTTCATTAAAATCCACTAACAAACGCACCTACGCTGAATACATTGGCTAGAAAGCAACATTCCAAGAACATAGACGTATTTATCTAAGGTCTGTATACATAAACAAGGCGAGATGCTTGGCTATCATGATTAGTTTGTATCCTGAATTAGGACCCTCCTCTAAAGACGTTTCGCTGTTTTCCGAATAGGTCTATTTGTCCACCCGCCGTGGAGCCTGGATCGTCCGTCGAGTCGGTAAATACGGGCGACCATTCGACATTTCAGTAATGACACGGTTGAGCAATATTCTTTTCCATTTGTTGCCCTATAATCTTTTGTGCTGGATCTGCGAACAGAAGACGGAAGCCATCTTCGATCATGAATTATACAACTTAAAGCCCACTCACAGGTAAGCGAAATAGCTTTTTACCGCTGTGCTATGACATGTTGGCGATTTCGGACAGGACCAACTAAATATTGCCATTATAAATGAAGAAGCAAATATTGATACCATTAATAAGTGACAATTTGATTGTTTTATCGAACAGGATTTTTGCCCAGCATATAATGGTGAACGATGCACTGCCCAATCGTATTCTTAGCGGAACTGTCGTTGTCAAGGGCAACATTAAACGCTTCACTGAGAATGGAATCGTTTTTGAGGGGGAAAGCAAAGAAACTGCAGTAGACGACGTGATTCTGGCCACAGGGTACCAAATTAAATTTCCTTTCTTCGACGAAAATGTAGGTAACAGGTTCCTTTTTGGCCTCTTGGCTTTTGTTTTTTGTTTTAAACAATTCAGTATACAACAATCAGGCTCAAAGAACTAACTCAATACGTGTGTATATAATACCGATTAATGTGACTAAAATTAGATGGTATTTACAAGCTTGAATTGGTATCTTCAGAATTTTCTTAATTTTGTTGTCGTAAAAACCATCTTCCAGCGCTCAGTGTATTATTTGATGTGTCTCATTTCAGTTAGTGGCCTGCGAAGATAATCGCATTGATTTGTATAAGATGGTCTTCGATCCCAATCATCCGACCTTGGCATTTATCGGAATGGCACAGCCCGTCGGTCCGTTAATGCCAATTTCTGAACTTCAGTCGCGTTGGGTCGCCCGTTTGTTTGCTGGTAAACAAAGACTTCCTTCGAAATCGGTTATGTACAAAGACATTCAGGCCTACCAGAAGAATATTCGCGCTCGCTACTTCGAGGGTCCACGTAACACAATTGAAATCGATTGGATACCGTACATGGACGAGCTGGCCACGATAGTGGGCGTCAAACCCAATCTATACAAGTTGCTTGTCACTGACTTCCAGCTTTGGACTACACTTATGTTTGGGCCCGTTCTTCCGTACCAGTACCGCCTGGAAGGTCCAGGCAAATGGTCGAAAGCTCGGGAAGCTTTGCTCACAGCTGAAGAACGTATTTCAGCGGCATTACAGACCCGAAAAGTGCCCATAGCAAAGGGTAAGCCTGGCAATGCGCTTGTCGAGCTCATAATGATGTTCTTGCGCGCGATTTTCTCAATGATTTTCATCATTTTCATAGGCGCTTTCACTATGATGACCTGAACACAGTTAGCGCAGATAAGATAGCAACGCATTTGTTGCGTGGAGTCTGTTTGCTGTCTATGAATCGATCGTATGATATGATACATACACCTTGAGATTAGATAGATTAGAAACTAATTATACACGATTGGACACATTGTCGTTCACTAACCGTTCCTTGCGCTAGCTTGAAATCTGTGAAAAAAACTACCTGCTACTAAAGTGAAAACCTCATAAATATAGAATATTTAAAGTGGTATACATACATCTATCAACAGGCAGCTTAACACAAAGCGTTACCTAAAAATGACACATCATTTAAGAAAATGGCCTTATAATATTTATCATCAAGCTGCCTGATTCAAATCGGTGGGAGCAGACGATGCAAAATCGCCTATCTATGAAGTATTCTGAGTGTTGCTTAAAAGCGGACCGGAACAAGAAAATAAATGCCATCAAAAGTTACAAAGCAGAATTATATAAATTGCTATATCTCTATCTACATACATAAACAAGTACGTTATTTCAAGCCTGTCAAAAGAATTAATACAATTGTAGAAATCTTGGATCGTTTTCAAAAAGCGATCGCCTAATTAGTGATCGATTACCCTAATTACCCCTGTAAGATTTTACACATTTTGCCGCAACCTGCTCAATAGATAAAAGCAAACTTTTAAATGTGTTTTCAATAATAAAATACATATAGTATTGCTTGATGTTTGTCGTTATTGAAACGTGCCGTTCGTCGCTTCCAGGATAGACGATAGGCAAAGCATCGTGCCTCTACAGCTGAACTAAGATTAGAGAGGGTGCTATTCTAAGGTAATTTCTTTTTTTTTTTCGATGTATGAACAACACTTCTCTATAGGCTTTATTCTGTCACTTTTTAATTTCCACAACATACAACGTTTGTGATTAATAGCAGGTCATAGAATAGGAAGGTTAGGGTATGAGTATCCATATCAAGTCACACTAAGATAATGTCAGCTAAGTCATGCAATCTGCTTGGAGTAAATGCGTATCCTTGTGCTTCTACCTACTCATCAGACTCCCCTTAAGGATTCACTCCGCATGGACGTTGATACAGGAAGAAACGAAAGGCGACCCCATCCATTCACTTGATATAAAAAAACTCTCTTCTAATAGAGGAGGGCCCCTGCGCGGGAAGCTCTTGCCGCTTGGGTTAGGTCCTTCGTCCAGTAAATGAATTTCCTCATTAATAGATTTTTTGTTCCTCTGGCCCCTCGGTTCACTACCAGTTACCAGCCCCTGGTACAACCTAGTTTCGTTCGTCAGAACCGATTATCACCGTCCTAGACCACATAGCTCGCTAGTCTAAATTATGGCAGCCGACCCTGAAAAAGTAGTGCCTTGCGAAGGAAGTGAGATTTCTACAAAATGCCCGCAACCCAATCTTCGTAGTGGATATCTCCCACAAAGGAAACCTGGCCGTGCGTTGAGTCCTTTTTACGCTAACATTGAAAAAGGCCAAACCACAGAGCTAGAAAAAACAGACAGACGGTAGTGCACGATTCATACGATAATTCCGGGTTTCAACAACCCTTAACTCACTATGAAATCTTTGCCTTCAGGACGTAGAGCAGTACAACTGGGTACTCTGCACTGCTTTCTAGCTAGCCGTGTTGGTCATCGATCGTTGCTGCCCGTAGGGTGAACATCAGCGAATTTTCTAAATTCTCTAATTTAATACAGAGAAAAACAGCAAAATGGAAATTTAAAAATATAAAGAAGATACATGTGACAACTGACCAGTGCAAAGTCCACCGCGAACTGCGTTCCGTTTGCTTAATCTGAAGCAAGGCAGAGAGGTGAAAGTCAAGCATTGGTATAATCTAAAAGCATGTGCGTACAAGATCTGATCGTAAGGATAAATGAACAAAGATAGCAGTTCCGTTATGTGGACCGGCGAAGGGTGTCTAGAAGTACACTTTTGACCGATACCAAAGGCCTTATAGTGGTTAACGGAACGCGTAAGACAGTTTTATCTCGGCTGTTATACGTATACGAAACAGCAAATCGTCCAGCCACAATATATAGCAAACCTTTACCTACGGAGTTTTTTGAACATTAATACCTAATTAATCTCAACTTTATCTAATTACACTAATATCGTTTAAAATATCTCTTTCACCTGATTTCTAGCAGGAAAACAATTTTGTGAAATAATAATACATATGTTATTTCTACAAGGAAAGAGTCAAGGCTATCTGTATAAAGATTGCAATGTTCTTTGGTTTATTAGATGGTGTAAATATGGAAGGATTCGATGTTGTTTCGTTTGGCGGTTTTTGAGTTATTGATCATCCTTTTCGTCGAGGTCTCCTCCTGGATGATGGCATTCGGAAGAGAGCGAAACCGGGCGTAGTCCCGACTTTGGCAGTGATGGACTTAAATTTCTTAGAAGCACTTCCTGTGTACGATGGCAGGGCCAGACTCGTCGTATTCCTCCTTCGAGATCCACATCTGCTGGAAGGTGGACAGGGAGGCAAGGATGGAACCGCCGATCCAGACGGAATACTTCCTCTCGGGGGGAGCAATGATCTTAATTTTCATGGTTGAGGGAGCCAAAGAGGTGATTTCTTTCTGCATACGGTCAGCAATACCGGGATACATGGTGGTACCACCAGAGAGAACGGTGTTAGCGTACAGATCCTTACGGATATCAATGTCGCACTTCATGATTGAGTTGAAGGTAGTCTCATGGATACCGCATGACTCCATTCCGATGAACGAGGGCTGGAACAGAGACTCGGGGCAACGGAAACGCTCGTTACCAATGGTGATGACCTGACCGTCGGGAAGCTCGTACGACTTTTCTAAGGACGACGAAGAAGCAGCGGTGGCCATCTCTTGCTCGAAATCCAGGGCGACGTAGCACAACTTCTCCTTAATATCACGCACGATTTCACGCTCAGCGGTGGTGACGAATGAATAACCACGCTCGGTAAGGATTTTCATCAAGTAGTCAGTCAGATCACGACCGGCAAGATCGAGACGAAGGATAGCATGAGGAAGAGCATAGCCTTCATAGATAGGTACGGTGTGCGACACACCGTCACCGGAATCAAGCACAATACCGGTGGTACGGCCAGAGGCGTACAGGGACAGCACGGCTTGGATGGCGACGTACATGGCCGGAGTGTTAAATGTCTCGAACATGATCTGGGTCATCTTTTCACGGTTAGCCTTGGGGTTAAGGGGGGGCTCAGTGAGCAACACGGGGTGCTCCTCGGGAGCGATACGGAGCTCGTTGTAGAAGGTATGGTGCCAGATCTTCTCCATATCATCCCAGTTAGTGACGATACCGTGCTCAATCGGGTACTTCAAGGTGAGAATACCACGTTTCGACTGAGCCTCATCGCCGACGTACGAGTCCTTCTGGCCCATACCGACCATGACTCCCTGGTGACGGGGGCGGCCTACGATCGAGGGGAAGACGGCACGAGGGGCGTCGTCTCCAGCGAATCCAGCCTTGCATAGACCAGATCCATTATCCACAACGAGGGCGGCAACGTCATCGTCACACATTCTGACCGGAACTTCGAATCCCCAAGTGACACGAACGACTCTCCAGGGGCGAGTGCTGCTCGATGGTCGATGCTAAGCTTTAGTACTAACGCGCGCAGCGCCACTGCTGTCTGGTGGCAGCACCATACCTTACCATATTAAGAAGGGGAACGCCCTTTGTCAAGCAAAGCCTACCCTCTCCGAACGCGTCGGCATCTCTCGAACCCGAACCCACCAGAGAACTCTCGAGAGCGACACGGTGCTGTAACCGCCATAGACAGGCCGCGGGCGAAAAGGCCATAAACAGTAGGCCATAGTGAGGGACATCCGTTGCGTCCAACCATACTGCTTCGCTATTTTGCGGCTGCAGTCAGCCTGCCGTAACAGGCAATGCTACAGCACGAACACAATTAGTCAATAGCAAAGAGTGCTGCTGTTGTTGTTCATCGATGCCGGAAAGAGTGGCGGCGATTTACAGAGAAAAGATGAGCTCAGCATTTGCAAACACAACAGGTGTCCACATGGTACTATCGTGCCGCATCTTAGAATAGAAAAAAGGAGAAAACACGAGGAAGAGAAAAAGACAGATTGTAGTTCAGAGAAGCCCGGCACGGTCCATCTCGATTAGCTTAGCCAGCCGTCGGTCAATAGAGAGATAGACCAGGTTCGGGGATGGGACGGGCGCGGTAGGGGCCACTTCCTGCTTCAATATCTTCTGGCTGGTTTCAATCGATTTCAGCCACGGCGGCACTTATACGGCCGTGCTATGGCTGGCGTAGGGTCAGTCCCCCATTCGATAGTGGGTCTAGTGGCTAGGTTGGTTGGTGCCGACTTGGCCGGCCCTGCAAAATGGACCAGTGGCAAGTAGTTCTTTGGCAGCTAGGCCAGTGCGTTGCTGCATCAGGTCCAGCTACATCTTGAAGCCCGCGCACAGCTACAAGGGTCGGACGCATCCCAAATATTGCCACGGAAGCGTACTGCCCCGACTGCACTAGATTTCTGTCCGCCCGTCTGTCTGTCTATCTCACTGTTGTATGCAACGGAACTACCATAAGGAAGAAACGCATTCCTCTGCACGATAAAAAGCTATTCTCACTAAGAAATTGCTTCACCGGACTTGTATGCATATATGTACTTACACTGATATCGGCATCAGCAGGAAAAATAGAAAAGCAGCGATTTAGAGTTTCGCTAGGTAAGTTCATAGATAAAAGTAAATCCTTTCAAGCAGAGAAGACATGAGCATATTTTACATGACGTGTAGCATATAAGTTAAAGGAAACAGGTAAATATTAACCGTTAGGTACGTTGAACAGATGTCCTATTGACTTTTAGAAATTGCTTGTAGTAATTGGTAAACATACAATTTTTTCATGTTCTTTTCGATAAGTTTTTGGTACAAGATTTTGGTAGGGATTGATCGAGGCAATACTAACATAGTTAACTGAATATTTATATATATATATATAAAGAAAATGAATTGTTAACGTGCAGCCAGAGGAAATCTCTATTAAATACAATACATAACCATCTCTAAAATGGATAGCTCCATAAGTAAATAACGTTGTTAGACTGATTTGATTAATATTCTAGTCAATGAAACGATAAAAACGGTTCCCTGTGGCGAATAAATGCTCTTCACAAAAGGCTCGCCTTCACGAATTGAGTAAAAGCAACAGTCGAAAGTACACAAGCATAATACAATCAATGCTACCCCATCGCGCTAAAATTATTCTATCTTTAAGCAGGCTTTAAGTTTAAGGCTCGTTTTACTACCATTTGCCTCGTACACATCCAGGTGACAAAAAAACTAACTGTTATTGCGACCTTTGTTGATCGCTGAGACAGGTCTCTTAACTACATAACAAACAACGGCCTGTGTTGAAGCTGACGTAGCCAATATTAAATCGATCATTACTTGCCCGATGAATATTCACTATGAACCTTAGAGACTCGATGGACCGCTACTTTAATTAGATTTCCCTCGGCACCCGAATAATTCGTTATCGGCAACAGTGATCGGTTGTGCTACCGGCCTAAAGGTGTTTTCCAACCTTGTCACTTTGTAGGGGGGCATCTACTCGACTCTTCCTTATTCCTCAGAAGCATTTTGCTTTGCGGTCGACAGTGAAAAGGTTTGTACCCGTCCGTGACCGATATGATGATCCATTGCCTTAACCGCTAGGCGCCAGGCTCGAATTTTGGCACTGCGTACGTTATTATACACGACGTGGTAATTTGCAACGTTTAAAGAGAGTCTCCAGAAAGAACTTCTATGCGCACTATAATTGAATCTCTAACCCCAAACAAACATGTAAAATTGTTATAGATGAGTAAATGGTTGGACTGACCCAAAATACCATATAGTATGCCAAATGGACAAGATCATGACAGGTAACTGATAGCTCTGCAAATGTTTGTTGCATTGAGAGATAAAGATAAGATATCCATGCTTACGTCAACAACAACTTGTTAAAATTAAACGTTCGTATTCAAAAATTTAAATTTTGAGTATTTTTAGACGATTTGTTGTAATTTAGAATGCACGCTTGCGTATTAGGCCAAATTCTTAGACATACGAGCCTCTCAATAATAGTTCAACTAAAGGGACAGGCAATGAGGTAACGATTTAAATTACTGTCCTACACTTAGCTGTATTAGATACTATAGGGTTACGTGCGCAACTATACATTTGATATGGGACCATGCTAACTTGTTGGGAGGAGAACAAAGCCCCAGTTATTTTTTAAGGAACACTCATGTGTGTTCATTACTTGACGATGGTTGACAAATACGATGACTGGGATAACTTTGCGCACGTGCAATTATGCCCTTATGGAGTTATATCGTACGCGACATTTTATGGGATTGATTAGTGCTAACCGCCGACATAATCAAGAAGCCATTTTAGCTTTCTCCAATACGCTTTTTAGCGAAAAAAAAAACTAGCAGCGACCGAAATAGTACATACTATATACCTGAGTAGAAAAAAATACACAAGGTGAATTCGTAATGAAGCAGCTCTTTCACACAATTCAAATTATTATTGTACGTATTATATTTGCTATAGCCATTTACTATGGGTCATAAAATATGGGGTATTAAAAAGAAGTAAAGTCGAAGCTCTGGGTCGAAAAGCCAGTCGTGCGTTATTCAATTTCGTTTCAGTAAATAGCTACTTATCCGACCTGTGGTCAAACGATATAGGGAATGATCTCTCATACAGTAACTGTTCCGTATAACGCTTATGTAGTCTAAATACAACGTTTTTTCCTTGAAGCCAGCCAGCTAGCTAGCCAGCCTAGGTGCATTCCGCCTACACAAAGAGCTCTAGCTAGATAAGCCAATTCCATGACAAGTCGTTTTTATCTCGGTGACACTTTCACGGATATCTTTCAAGCCTGTTTATTCACTATATTTCTACTAGGACCATAGCGGTATTCCGCATAATACCGTAAACATTCGTAGCAGGTGTTATCATCTTATGCAAGTGGCCGGCATAATAATTTCCACCTCTGGGATGCGTATGAGGACACCTCGTCGCCTATCAGGCCGAAGCGTTTCACAGGATAACATGTCTCCTTTCGCTAACAAGGTAGATATTTCGGCACGTGGCATCAAGTTGGCCTATTTGTGGCAAATATTTCATGCGCTTGTTGGTGCAATGCCCAAAACCCTGAATACAAATTTGATCCAGTTATGTAGCTGCTTTGTAGCTTCATAAGGCCAGGCCGTGTCTTTGAGGCAGCGAAGTTACAGCGTAATACGTATAACGATTGTTTAATTAGTAAAGTCAAATCGACAGACATGATATAACTAATTCAACTGACAATCCTCAATAAGGTGACGAACTTACACGCATATTCGTCCATCAATTAGCAATCTCAGTTATTCAGCTATATTCCACGGAACGCTTTAGAACCATCAGCAGCATCATGTAAATTCTCCACACACTGCGAATTGTTTTACGAATTTATGTTACATTAAACCATGTAGCACATTTTTTCGTAGCGAAATTAGGTACAAGGTAAGATGTGTTCTAGTATTAATTTAAAGCAACCGAAAATTGAAGCACTCATATAAATTTTTTCAAAAAATAGCATTTTTTTGTAAATCTACATTGTGTATTGCTGTCGTATGCAGTGAGCGTATTAGATACTGTATTTGCGTAGCTACTAAATCATCTTGTTTGTAGTCCCAAATAAAAAGAGGATTATTAACGTTTATGAGACCATGTTGGTCATACAACCGTTTACCCAAGTCCTCCTTGTCAGAAACATAACGCTATAGGCAGCTCGCCACCATCCGGTCTTCGACCGTTCTTTCCCTTAATGAAATCATAAGCTTCTTTTGCATTTGTGTTAGTTGCGTAATAATATGATTACTTTGATATTTTCTCATTTATATAATTTATCACTTATATAATTATTTTATTATACCTCAAGATTATAACTCTGGGCCAGTTTGAATTCGTTCAGGTTCACATAAGAATCTGATGCGATCTTCTAGTCCGTTTTTAGTTGTCATTAATAGTCTCCTGATTACTAAGCCATGGCTAGGTCTATCGAAATGTGTATTTTTTACTTTGATTGTTTTTTTTTATTTATTTTAATAACAAAATCAATTAAACCATGATTTTTTTAGTTTTTTTCAACATCCAAATATAGGCCTATTTTGTTTATTAAAAATTAGACGAACTGTATCTACATGAGATTTGTTTAGGTTCTAAGTAGAACAAAATACACAGTCGAAATAATTTCTAGCATTTAGTCAATGAAAATTGGTTGATTAATAATTGGTCACTCCTTAGACAAACGCTTTTAGACTTCTCGGCGATTCAATTGGGCTGAACCATGCTCGGCTATCCGAAACAATTGTAAGCTAAACAATTCCTAGATCTAGTGCTATCTTTTACTGCTTTAATATACCACTGAGTATCAAATATGCAAGAGGCTTGCTATATTATATCATATACTGCCTATTTATTTAGATTTGTATGTGTTATCCAAGAAACGAAAAATGTGATTCGAGTTTTGGTCTCAAGTTCATGAATATAAACACATAAGCATAT